AAATCAACAGTAATTACCCACCATGCGATTGTACTTCCTGTCTAATGATGTGTTTTCCAAATTTCTGGTAGTCAAAATATCTCGCTCTAACCTTAACGTCGAACGCGATTAATGAATTCAACCCAATTAACTTGGCAAGTAGATCAGCTACTTCATCTGGCTATAATCCCTTATGAACCTAGCTATTGAGTTTGATTGTCAGTTAAATTCAGTGCAAAGTATGGTTCCTCAACCTGTCAGAGCTATTGCTGAAACAGGTATTGTGGTAAAGGGATAGTCATTCCTGTGGATACTGGCCTCAACAAATTTTAAAATCATACAGGTGTACGTATTATTCAGGGGTATAGCGCCCCCCCCCCCTCTCAAAAAAAAAAGGCAAAAAAGTTCCTGAACTTTTAACAAATGATTAATTACAAAGCCTAATCATAGGTTGAAAGTTTATGGTTTCTAATTAAGTTTATTAACCAATAATTATGATGGTATAGCGATAGTAACACCAGTAATTTTCTGTTTATTTTAAGTTTATTTTCTATGAATTATTCTTAAACATTTGAAAGCTTACAGTAGATTTTTACAATTATGTTCTGGTAAACGGCAATGAAAAATAATAGTGATATGAATTTCAGAGTATTCATTGTGGGCATCTAATAACATATTGTTGTAAGGAGGATTCACCCAAAAATACTGTTTTTATGTCGTCAGACCAGTTAAACTTCACATCAACTGTCTGAAAATGAGCACATAAAATTGAATTATTTTTTGCAAACCTGCTCACGACCCAACGCAAAAGTTAGGCGACCCACCTTTGGGAAGTGTGGCACAATTCCAAATAAATACAGTTTACCGTAGGCCCTATTTTTTCTTCCTTATTGTTTACATGCCAGCTAATGTGCCCTCGTACTTGTACGGCCGTCGTCTCCTTTGGGTTCTTCCCACCAAGCCTTGGGTATTCACAAATGTACCAATGCTCCAGATGGAGTCTCTCGAATTTCAAAAACTAGGACTAGTTAACGTACGGCCCGTAAAAAAAGTGTACTTTCTATCACATATAATTCCACTGTCTTAGTTAGGCCTAGGCCTAGTCTTATGCCTCATCGTCCCCTGCTACACAGTACATCAGCAGCCCCTCCCCCATACAGTACAGACGTTTGCTAG